CAGATGTATCAAGCAATGAAGGATGTGACATGGGCTCTGTTTACTAGTGCTAAAGCTCTGAATGCCATAACCATAAAGTACAGAAATGGATTTGTCCAAGCTTTTCATAGAGATCCAGCTAGTAGCAGCACATTCTACATCTTCTCCGATCTAAAAAACTATTCGATCAGTGGAACGGGTCCTGAAGATGTAAGTATGTCACTCGGCCACGGATGGAACAACCCGACAATACACGGGAACATGTCTGCCATTTGGTACCAGCAACAGCTTGATCCAATAACAGGGGCAAAATTAGGAAAGCCTCGTCAAATCCCACCGGATGATCTCATCAACATCGCAGGAATCTCACAAGTGCCTGATGGTGAAGCTTCTTGGCATGTGACGGTGAGCAAATACATGGACTCTCCGCTTCTCTCAGCGGCTTTGCCTGTCTTTGATGCTTCAAACAAGAGTATTGTGGCTGTTGTAGGGGTGACAACTGCTCTTTACAGTGTAGGGCAGTTGATGAGAGAGCTTGTCGAAGTACATGGTGGACATATTTATTTGACATCTCAAGAAGGATACTTGCTTGCTACTTCTACAAATGGTCCTCTTTTAACAAATACATCAAAGGGACCTAAGTTAATGAGAGCCATTGATTCAGAGGAGTGGGCTATAAAGGCAGGAGCTCAGTGGTTAGAGAAAACTTATGGGAGTAAGCGCCCTCATGTTGTTCACGCTGAGAATGCAAAGCTTGGTGACCAACAATACTACATTGATTCATTCTATCTTAATCTCAAGAGACTGCCTATTGTAAGTTTTCCGTACCAAGAGTCTACGCAAGATTTAGATTCCCAGAGTCTGCGTTGTTTAATTTTCGGTTTACGTAATTTGCAGGTAGGTGTTGTCATTATTCCCAGGAAGTTCATTATGGGAAAAGTGGATGAAAGAGCCTTCAAGACTTTGGTTATACTGATATCTGCTTCTGTATGCATCTTCATTATTGGATGTGTCTGCATTTTAATCCTCACAAATGGAGTTTCAAAGGAGATGAAACTAAGAGCAGAGCTGATAAGGCAATTGGATGCAAGGAGAAGAGCTGAAGCTTCAAGCAACTACAAGAGTCAGTTTCTGGCAAATATGAGGTTGGTCCATCATTGCATACTGAAAGTTCTTACAATTGTTTAACATTCTTAATGCTAAATACTGAAATGAAATATTTTGCAATTTTTTTTTTGCATTCTAGCCATGAGTTGAGGACACCTATGGCTGCTGTGATTGGATTGCTAGATATTCTAATATCGGATGATTGTCTTTCAAACGAGCAATATGCAACAGTCACTCAGATCAGAAAATGCTCTACAGCCCTCCTCCGTCTTCTCAACAACATTCTGGACTTGAGCAAGGTGAGAAATTAGAAGAGAAAACTTATTACATCCGCTAACCGTTAAGCTAGGCATTGAGTACACATCTTAGCTGTTTCAGCTGATCTTGTCTTGTAACTAGCATGTCATTAGCAGCTACAAGCTAATGTCTTCCTTTTCCGCCTTATAGGTTGAGTCGGGAAAGCTTGTTCTAGAAGAAGCTGAGTTTGATTTGGGAAGAGAACTCGAAGGACTTGTTGACATGTTCTCAGTGCAGTGTATTAACCACAATGTAGAGACAGTTCTTGACCTCTCTGGTATGACTCGATACTATATTTTAAACAGCCGATGATGAATGTTCTTCACAATGATATTTGGGTTATGAACTCTGATGTATATTTTTCTTTCCACAGATGATATGCCAACGTTAGTCCGAGGGGACTCAGCGAGACTAGTTCAAATCTTTGCTAATCTTATAAGCAATTCTATAAAGTTTACAACAAGTAAGTGTAGTTAGCATCTATCTCTTCTTCTCTTTTCATGACAGAGATGCATTGCTAATCTTTAAAGGATGGTTGCTTTGCAGCGGGTCACATTATTCTCCGTGGATGGTGCGACAACGTGAATTCTCTGCAGGATGAGATGAGCGTAGCTGTTGACAGAAAGAAACCATGGGCTCCAATGAAGACAAAACTGGTGCACCACAGAAATCATTTGCAGAAGTCTTGTAAGAACAAGAACAAAATGGTTCTTTGGTTTGAGGTTGATGACACTGGATGTGGTATGGCTTGAGTTCCTTATATATTCTTTTGTTATCCACTTCATTCGCGATCTCTCAGGTGCTGAAAACCACTATATTTTCTGCAGGAATAGATCCAAGCAAATGGGACTCTGTGTTTGAGAGCTTTGAGCAAGCTGATCCTTCTACCACTCGGACGTAAGTGATCATGATTAAGTGCACACAATGAATTTATAAGGAAAAGTATGTTGTTATTTGAATCTTAACCTCACTGGTCTTATATTTCTTCAGGCACGGAGGAACTGGTCTTGGACTGTGCATCGTGCGAAACTTGGTTAGTCAAGTCACTGGAACTTTAGAATTTGCAATCAAATCATCTGAAACTTACTTTGTAATTTTACAGGTAAACAAGATGGGTGGAGATATCAAAGTAGTACAGAAGAATGGCTCAGGGACTATAATGAGACTATACTTGATTCTGGGTATTCCTGACAATGCGGATCAAATCTGCCAGCCAGATTTCTCCAAGTACGGTCTCGTGGTACGTACATCTGAGAAATAAATCAAGACGAATGGATCGTGGACTAAAGCTTCTATGTTTGTGAACGTGTGCTAATGGTTTTGAATGCAACAGGTTTTGCTTTCAATGTCTGGACGTACAGCAAGAATGATCCAATCAAAGTGGTTGCGTAAACACGGCATTGCGACTGTTGAAGCATCGGACTGGAACGAGCTGACTCAGATCATTAGAGACCTCTTCGAGACGGGAAGCCGTGAAAACAGCTTCGATTCGCAGCACAACATTGCTGAATCACTGAGAGCAGAGCATTCGAGTATAGAAGAAATCAAGAACCCTGTGTTTGTCATAGTGGTGGATATCGGAGTTCTCGATCTCACTACAGATATATGGAAGGAACAGCTTAACTACCTCGACAGATTCTCCAGCAAAGCAAAGTTTGCTTGGCTGCTGAAGCATGACACCTCCAATACAGTTAAAACAGAGCTCAGACGAAAAGGGCATGTCATGATGGTTAACAAACCCTTGTACAAAGCCAAAATGATCCAGATTCTAGAGGCTGTGATAAAAAACCGTAGGAGAAGCTTGTCTAATGCGATAAGCAACATAGGAAATGGTAGTGATGAATCCCATGATTGCTTAGAAATCGATCCAACACCATACGACACTTGCGGTTCCGATGATTCTTCTGAGACATCGACCGAGAAACAAGGAGATAAATCTGTAAAACCAAGCACCTTGCCCTCTCCAGTGCTTAAAAACTACCTCGTTGACATCACTAAAAGCAATGATGACTCAACATCTGGAAGTATGACTACTCAGAAAAAAAAAGACGAAGAAGAAGATTGGAATGATCGAAGTAACCGGCTGTATTCAGGGATTGCTTTGGATGGAAAGAATCAGAAGTCTCTTGAAGGTATAAGGATTTTGCTGGCAGAAGATACACCGGTTCTTCAACGAGTAGCCGCTATAATGCTTGAGAAAATGGGAGCAACCATAACTGCAGTTTGGGATGGACAGCAAGCAGTTGATGCACTCAACTACAGGTCTATCAATGCAAAAGATTCAACTCAGGAACACAAATTATCAGAAGAAGAAACCACTAACAACGATATAAATCCGCAGACACCTTATGACTTGATCCTCATGGACTGCCAGGTACTATTATTACTTTCACTTTTGATTTTAATTCAATTCCCGATTCGACATGTAGTAGTAAAAGACATCACCATTTATTCAAACATTTTTCTCATGGCAGATGCCGAAAATGGATGGATACGAGGCAACAAAGGCGATAAGAAGAGCAGAGATTGGCACCGAGCTGCACATTCCAATCGTGGCATTGACAGCTCACGCAATGTCGTCTGATGAAGCCAAGTGCTTGGAAGTAGGAATGGATGCTTATCTCACTAAGCCAATTGACCGAAAGCTAATGGTCTCTACCATTTTGTCACTCACTAAATCATCAACGCTCTTAACTTCATTTTCCGCTTGAAGCAACGGGCAAAAATCTAATCGTAGCTCCGGGATCTTGGATTTGTATATATGTGAATTTGTAGTGTTCAATCAAATCTTTTGACAAAGAGGTTTTTGAAGGGAAAGAATCCAGTTTTTGTACTTAAAATAAGATGCGTATACTTGCTTTGAAGATGTGAAGTTAAACGATAAAGTTCCATTGCTTATGGTCAATATAATGAGAAAAAGACAACTCATGTTCTTCATTAAATCGAGCAAATAAAAAAGAATACAAAAATTGAAGTAAAATGGCCTATACAGGTTTCGAACCTGTGACCTTCG